CCTCCTCCTCCTCCTCCTCCTCCTCCTCCTCCTTCCTCTTCGTAGACTTGGCGGTGCGTGCCCTGGTTGCCCCCGTCCTCGCTTGTCTCTACGGCCTGGACAAGGAGCTCGTCGTCTTCCAAGGGATGCGATGGATAGGGAAGACCCTGGTACGGCTACGCGGGAAGCAGACGGTGGAACGAAGGAGGAGAAAAGGTTAAGGTGGCCACGAACCCATGAAATGGGGGGCGTCAAAACTCCTCGGAGGCGAGTGAAGCCTGCCGAACGATTTAAATTCGTCCGGGACGACTGTACAAAGTGTGTTAGACGATTGATAGGGAAGGGCTTGATGGAAGCTAGGGTGTGGTGGAGGGAGCAGTATTACAAAGCAATCGCACGGGATAACGCAACAATTCCACGCGCATTTTTCCATTTGCTTTCCTTTTCAGAAGCCATCCACAACCTTATCGCCTCCCGAACACCGCTCTACCCTCCTCCAATTTTCAAAATTCCAAAGAAAAAAAAATGAAACATGTTGCCAGATGGCTGGCGGGAGTCCAACGGCGCATCCACAAACATGCCTGTGTGTCGCTCACAGGTCGACACGGCGCATACAAGACCCCTTTCCCCACCCCCTTCCTTCCGACCCTCCTTCCACCCTCCCTCCTCATTGTCACTCGTCCTGAACCTCCCCCTCGTGTCTGCCCCATCCTCCCCACTCCTTGCCCCTGCCCTCCCCGTCTTCTTCACCTCGCAATGTCCCCTGGCCCGCTATCTGCAGCACAAGAAGCATAACTCCTACACGGGGGCACTCATGGCGCAAGCCAACAAGAAGGCGACGACTTGTACGTCACAAAGTTTAAAGTTTGAACTCAAAATTTGAAAAGCGGTTTCCGCAACGGGTTGCACACGCACACATGGTCAGAGGGAGCCGTCCTCTGTTTCTGCCTCGTAGACTCCAGGAGTCCTCCACCTCCCTGACCCTCCTTCCTCCCTCACCTCCCCCCGCTCCCGTCCTGGGCGTCCGTGGTCCATTTCCACCATTCCTCTCTTCTCTCTCGATCCTCGTCGTCGTCCACACCTTAATCTTCTTCCTCCTCCCTCCTCATTCCTCTCCTCCTCCCTCCTCATTCCTCCCCTCGCCCCTCCTCCTCCTCCTCCTCCTCCTCCTCCCCCTTCGTGCTGCCCCCACTGCTGCTACCACCCCCCTCTCCCGACGTCAAACTCCCTTCCCCTTCCTCCTCCCCTCCTCCCCCCCCTCCCTCAACCAGGAACAAATCCATTTCGTGGATACATTCGTAGTCTCGCTCCAGCACCCGGGCGTCCCCATGGGCCAAAATCGCCGAACCGGGCGAAGAGAGCATGTCCACTGTTTTTTTCAAGTAATCTCCCACTGCCACGTGCAATTCCACCGACTGATGGGGAGGGAAGTGGCCAGAAGCGGAGGGAAGGAGGGTTAGACAAAGAGGGTGGGGCGCGGTGTCCAAATCGGGGAGGTGCTACAAATGAAGAAGCTTTCAGCCAAGAGGGCTTGTACTCTCCCTCACCCACCCCCCCTTAACCTCCCTTTCCGCCCATCCTCCAGACATCTCACTATCCCACTCCACGAAAGAAAGAGGAAAAGAGGGAACAACTGGCACCCCTGCGTCCCTGAACCTCCTCCCTCGTCCAAAACCTTCCTTCCC